CTATCTTACATTGCATGTTAAATCAAGGCCAGCTAAATCATGTTCTACATTATGTCTATCTACATTTCATGTTAAATCAAGGCCAGCTAAATCATGTTGTATATTATGTCTATCTTACATTGCATGTTAAATCAAGGCCAGCTAAATCATGTTGTATATTATGTCTATATAGCATTGTATGCTATGGTTATATGACATTGTATATAACAGTTGTCACATTTCTCAGTTATATGGCGCTGTCATCATGAGTGAGTGAGTATAGTTTTACGCCGCTTTCAGCAATATTCTAGCAATATCACAGCGGGGGACACCAGAAATGGGCTTCGTGCGTTGTACCCACGTGGGGTCATCATGACTATATCATATTTTATATCATACCTAACTATGCTCTTTTATCACTTATGCATGCACTCATTCACATATGCACTTATGTGACTTCCATGGGGTTACAATAGGTGGATGAGAGTGCAACAATGAATGATTGAGCAGTTATCCGTATCTTGATGGTTGTTCATTAGTAGTGGTGCGGCAGTACACTGTCAGGATTGGTAGGTGTAATAAGACAGGAGTAATAATCTTAATTATTTACTTTTCCACAATGCCTTTTGAGTTTTCACATGAGTGCCCATTTAAATGAAGTCATGTCAAAGTACTCCTAAGTGATCTGTTGTTGACCTCAGTCCTGAGTCTTGTTAGGCTTGTCATCATGTTGGAGAATGTTGTATAATTGTAGAGGAACTAGTTAAAGTGTTAAACAGTGATGCATTCACTTGTACAGCTAAATTTGAAAGGCAAGAATTTATGGATGTTGACTTCTATATTTTGAGGGACACAAGGTTTCCGAGTATATTCTTACTCTTTCATCAGGAGAAGGTGAATATACTCCAAAACATCGTGTCCCTCAAAATATAGAAGTTGACATCCATAAATTCTTTCTTTTATGTGTATCACTTCCAAATGCCATTCAAAGACTCTAATCTAATTTGGTTTAAACATATTTTTATTTCGCCAAAGCAGAAACCCGGATAGGCGAACAAGCCTAGTGGCTTATATTAACACCGCTCCAGTACATTGTTCAAAATTAATAGCTGGATACATAATGAAGTAGTTTGACAACAAAAGAATAATATCTTAACAAATATATGATTGAGTAACAAATATGTTCGTTCTGGTGTTGGTTATGCCTAGCAACGAAATGGGCTGCTGCAGAAAATCACGTTATATAAAATTTGTCTTACACTGAATATCTATGTTAAGGGGGTAATCACTGGAAGCGGTTACTTTTGGAAATGAACTGGTGTAATGAGTTAAGAATGTCTCTATTAGTTGAGTTATTCAATGCGCCCGTTACCGTATAAGGTAGTTTTAACATCATATCCTTGAATATAAAAATACACAGTTCTTAAATTTTGATAGTTCCGACATGTAAAGAGGTAGTGAATAACGTCTTCGTTACAATAACCACATGAGCACCTGGGTGTGTCCGATATATGCCGATTATATCTGTCTGCGTTTAGATCACTACTGCCAAGCTTCAGGTGACAATGAATGATTTGACAAAATCTAGTTCCAAAATTCAAATCAAAGTAATTGTGAGTTTCTGTTGTGTTTATCATGGTTTTAAATTGATTCAGGGAAATAGCGTTAACAGCTCCATCAGGCAATGAATTCCACGTCATAATCGCGCTCGGTAAAAATGATTGAGAATATCTTCGCGTTCTACAATTAATAGTTTGTATGGAAGTACTATTTTTAAGATTATAGTTACTTTGTTCGAGTACTCTACCTGGTACAAGATCGTTCAAATAATCAGGAGTCAGACGATGATACATTTTATAGAAAGTTATGAGTTTAGAGCGATGTCGTCTTTCTTTCAGTGTGCTATAATTAGTTTCCCTGTATATTTTATCGTGACTGGTGCCACGAACCGCACCGCTAATCTAATTTGCCTGATACAATTTCCTTGATGTCATCCCTTGTATTAAATGACACAAGGATTTGAGACCTTAGATTCAGTATGATGAGTAAGTGAGAGTAGTTTTACGCCGCACTCAACAATATTCCAGCTATATGGTGGTGCTCTGTAAATAATCGAGTCTGGACCAGACAATCCAGTGATCAACAGCATGAACATAGATCTGCGCAATTGGGAACCGATGACATGTGTCAACCAAGTCAGCGAGTCTGACCACCCGATCCCGTTAGTCGCCTCTTACGACAAGCATAGGTTACTGAAGATCAATATTCTAACCCAGACCTTCACGGGTTTCAATAGATGTGTTGGAGTGGTGTATAAACTGCAGCATGGTATCTCAATCGGCTAACACAGACAGACAAGTATCAGCAAACACATGCACACATAGACGCATGCATGCATGCACACATTGCTATATGAGCAACACAGTTATGTATGCAACATTAAACCCATTTCATGTAATTTAACCTTACCACACACAATACCCACCACCCACTACCTTTAAGACTTGCCACCACAAACTGACTCCATTCTGTTGGCTGACCACAATACCTCCAGTCCCTCCCCACTAGTCTCAGCATGAAAATAGTACAGGTATAAATGATTCATGCTGTCAGTAGCCGCCAGCACGGCACACGAAAAAATCAATGCTGCAGGCTGATCAATTATTTGATGTAATGTGATCGACAGAATCACACATACTTGGAACGTTCTGTTGGAAGAGGACATACTCTGGGTAGAGGTATTTGCTCATTGATTACACCTAGGTCAAGGTCATCTGGTATTTTGTGTCTGCGAACACAGGACAAGAATTTGTAGGGGGATTATCCATGCTTGACGGTAGGTAGGGATTAAGGTGGTGCATGTCTAGATTAAGCATGATGTCAATTTGCAGTGACCACTTGCATTTCGTGTTGTGTCAAATATATTCTAAAATCAGTGTCATATGCTGTCATATGGTTCACGTGGTGAGTTGTCATTAATTCATATTGAAGCAGTCAGTTTATGTCAGTGGTGTGACCCTTGAAATGTCATGCAAATTGTCATAGGTGTTTGTGTCATAAATTGTTAAAAGATTTAGCTTGTGAACAAATATTGTGTCATATTTTCACCTGGTCCCAAACAACATTACAGTTTCAAAATTTCAAAACCGCAATGATATCACATTTTGTGAAGCCATTTAAATTTTTTAAATTTTATAGTTTTAATTCTGTGAAAAATGAAAAATAAACATTTCATCCTTATGAAGTAAGTTATAACTGTCTTAAGAACAATCAATGGATGTATTTCTGTCCATCTATTTTCACCATGACTATCTAAATATTCAGCTATTTTAAGACAGTAAAATTGGTGTACAGTCCAATTCTTCCAGTCGCAGGACGATATACTCTATTCCTGACACACTTAAAATGGCTAAACTGTGTGAAGTGTAATTTAGTGAAATGATGGATTCTTCACGAAGGTGTAACATATTTGATAGATATTTTGGCAGCTTGCCAATCCAGCCTTTGACTCGATTGTGTGAGTAGACTGGTGGTCTGGCAGAATAACATTGTCGTACAAACACTGTGTGCTATCAGAGAAGTGTGACTCAAGATTGTAGATACTTGGTACAGTATATTCAGGAGACTTTACTACCTCCATGTTCTCAGTTACATGGAACAACAAAGAATTTTGTCTGCCTCATTTAGAAGTTGTGTGTGAACAGTTGTAATGCTGTGTGGACAGACGAACATTCTGGTTTGTTGTCTCATGTGTAGTGGTCATGAGGTTTTGATGTGAAATGATTAGAAGCGTTTTCTGCAGTGTGATTCAACTTTTCTCTCCATATTACACTTTTTTCAGAATGAGTGAGTTAGTTTTATGCCGCTTTTGCAATATTCCGGGATATCATGGCGGGGGACACCAGAAATTGGTTTCACACATTGTACTTTTCTTTGGAAGTGATTTTTCAGTTCCAAACTTGTAAGTTGTGCCATTTATCTTGTGGAAATGGATTCATAAATAAATATTGAGTTTGATTGATATTAACTGTGATGTTTTTCACAATCTGATGCCATGGCAGGTTCAGTTATCATGGAAGTATGGGATGACATCCAGGATATCGTGGCATTCCAGACTGACTTCATATCTGTTTCACATCTGTGAAATTTTAAATTCTGTTTTTCTGTAGCAAACATGATGTAAGTGCACCATCCAATCAACCAAAGATTGCTGGAAGATTGGTTACACGAATACACACAATTTTCAGATCTTCCCAATAGTTACACATGAAATAACACCACAGAACAGGAGTATTGTCATATCAACATTAGAATTTAACCCATTGAAAGATATAAGATTGGGCAGATAAAAAAATTATTAATTCATTTGATCAAAACTATTAACTGAAACAAGAAACAGAACGTTCTGTTTATATTTGTGATTTTGCCACTTATAACAACCATATGTGACACAACCGTACAGAAATTCTGCACATTTGAAGGAGACACTCAAATCATTCAGTCGCCTATTCTCAACCTGAGTGAGTGAGTGACTGTTATAACACTGGTTGTCAGGGCAGTTTTTTCTAGTGGTGTTCCGATGATCGAAAATAATCGAAAATCGATCGAAAGAAGGATTAAAAATAATTATCGATTGTAAAAAACATGTTTTCGATTAATTGGAATTTTGTTGTTTTAGTTTAACACACTTGAATGAAGTAAACTAACCATTAAATTTGATGAATATTCACGAACAAACATTTGCTCAACAGCATCAAGCTATGCGCATTGTTAAATTTGAACCACTTTTATTGTTTAATTACAATTCCAGTGTCTTTCTTGAATTTCATTGCATGATAGTATTAGTAATAAAAAACATCAATTAGAAAATAAAACTGGGTAAAAACTTTGATTATAATCGATAATTGTTCACCACAAGTCCTCTGATAATCGATAGTGGATTTGGTTTTCAATTCCCACCACTAGTTATTTCAACCACTGTCTCTATCACTGTGATAACTTACAATGATCTTTACTTCCAGTCCTGAACATTACTGGTGGAAGGGACAAAACAAGCGGACATCCGAAGTTGGCGACTTCCCTAGGAACTTGCTGGATCCCCAGAGGAGACTAGCAAGTAAGTTGCACAGTTTGGACATGTTGGGCTGTGGTCATTTTAATCTGTGTTCCCATCTCCTGCCTGCCCCAAATGTTCATTCTGATTATATACAGTCATTAGGGATATACCGGTACCTTGAGTCCTGTATTTGAGGGTCCCTTGGACTCGTACTCTTAATTTAAGTAGGAATTGTCCAAGATCTGTATCATCTTGGGCTTTCCTCCCACTCCAAGCTGAAACAAACGTGATATAGCTGAAATTCAACGCACTCACTTACTCACTCATCAAGCTACAAAATACATTGCAAGTAAAATGATTTTCAAGGTTTTTTAATATGAGCTAGTCTTTTGCAATCAATTCAGTTGAGAATGTCATCTCCCTCTCTGTTTTCTGCAAATTAATGCATATAATATGATGTCAAAGTAAGCATGGTCACTGTTGTTTTGTAGCCATGGATACAGGGAAGAAAAATGTGAGAAAAATCGATTCCTTGCTTCCACGATTTAATCAATCAATTTCAAAGGGACACTTCATTTGTGAATGAATTTCTGTGTAGATGGCAGGTTAAACAGTACAAACAAAATGTGGTACAATGTTTTACCCCAATTAATGGAGAATATTGCAAGAATGTATTGTTTGCAAGTCCTATTGCAGTATATCGATGTACTAGTAATACTTTTCAATCCTTGATATTTGCATGTCCTTCCTGGTTGACTGAGTATTTGAAAAATGCACAAATTAATTAATTTTTTCCAAGGTTAAATATTATCACACATGACTTACAGCACCCTTTATGGATTAACGTGTGTCCAGAAATGTCGACCCATGAAGAGCCGGGTTAGAATTGGTCTTCAATAACTCATTCTTGTCATAAGAGGCGACTAACGGGATCGGGTGGTCAGGTTCACTGACACATGTCATCAGATCCCAATTGCGTAGATCGATGTTCATGCTGTTTATCAACTGTATTGTCTGGTCCAGAATCAATTATTAACAGGTCACTGCTTTATAGCTGGAATATTGCTGAGTTCGGTGTTAAACAGCAAGCCAACCTACCAACCAGAAAATGTCATTGAGTTACAGAGTTTCGTGGGTGTGTTTGTTTTGTCTGAGTTATATATAGCTCATATGAGAACATATTCCCAAATATAGCTACACCTCCCCCTGTATTGGGAGTTAGACAGGAAATCCCTTCCCAGCTTGCATCTAAACATAGATTCTCCAGTTTAGAGGTAATCTGAGAGCAGGGCCTGATCCATCTCTGACGTGTCCAGTAAGCTCATAACAAACTATCTACCACTTTCTAAAACTTGGGGAGAATTTGAGTAGACAGTAATTGTGGTGGGCTTGAATTAAGTACAGCGAATTTTGTTCATTTTTAGATTTTGTTTAAGTTGTCACACAAATGAAAAGTCTTACATTTATAAGTTAATGAGGGGTCCATTCGTGAAAGTTTAGTTTTAGGGCTGCTTAGGTTCACATACTACATTTTCAGCAGCAAACCTCAAGCCCTCATAATTTTAAACACATGGAATGTGTTTCCTGTATGAGTGTATTGATTGGTATGCACAAAAAGTATATCTTGCATCCGGAGGGAGTAGGATCCACTGTAACAAATTCCTGACAATAAATATAAAATTCCAACTGTAAACATAATATCACGTCTTCCAGTACAGTGCAGGACACAACTTTATAACTTGGGGTAGCCTCGTGGTTAAAGTGTTCGCTCATTACGCCAACAACCTGGGTTCGATTCCCAACATGGGTACAATGTGTGAAGCCTATTTCTGGTGTCCCCCGCTGTGATATTGGTGGAATATTACTAAAAGCGGCTTAAAACTCACTCACTCACTCACTTTACTGGAACTTCATATTTCCTGCAAACCAATGAAATTAGTAATGGAGAGTCCTCTGAACCCCTACATGCATCAGCCATGTCAGCGATACTGAGCAACAAATCCACCTATTAATGGGTTTCCCTTGAGTGTAATTCATAGCAAGGATGGTGTGGTGGTTTAAGTGTTTGCATGAAACTAGGACCCTTTGCTCCCTTTGTGGAATAGCATCCTTGGCTCAGTTCCCTGAGTGGGTACTGTGAGTGGGCCTGTTCTTGAAACTTCTAGAGTATTGATAGCAGTGGGCTTAGATCATACTCATCATACTCTATTATGAAAAATGGGGCAGCCAATAAAACTGGGTTAATTCCACATCAGGCTCAGAAAATCATGTGGATTGATGCTTATGATGTTGATCACTGGATTGTCTGGTCCAGACTGGATTATTTACAGATCACTACCATATAGCTGGAATATTGCTGAGTGCAGCGTAAAACTAATCTCACTCTCTCACCTTCTTACTTGTTGATATTACTGTTGTAACTGTTAGCATCATCATGTTCGACTGGCTCAACAACAGATCAGTATCTTGTGCCATGAGCATATAAGGTTTATATACACTGTATATTTGTCATGTGTGTGTGTCTGACAGCCACTTTCTATTAATACCTACAGAAGGATATTGTGTTTATTGATTGATCGGCAGATACAGACAGTTCAGGGATAAACAGTTTAGCCCAAACTTGCCACAGGGTTGTTATTGTGCAGCAACCTCCCACACACTGAATGCCTGAATGACCTCACATCACACCATTGTGGAGTCAAGCTCCTTACATAGTCCCTTCAACAGGGACAAGGATAAAGGCCAAAATTACCATATTTCCTCCAATAAGCTGCTGCTCTACATAACAGCAAATGGGTGGCACAAGGGAGACCCTTTTGAACGCAGAAGCTAAATTCAAGGCCTTTTAACTCATTAAGGCCGAGAGCCGCATATATGGGGCAAATTAATCAGCTCCTCACAGCAAGAGACGTGTTAATGGGGCAGGTAATTGGCAGTTTCTCACAGCGAGAGCCACATATATTCATTAACAGAAAGCACCTCTTATTCAGCGAGAGACACACATGTGTGTCGTACTTTTAAAAATCGCACTGTACCTATTATTTCAAGCAATTTAGTAGTACTGGGCAAATATTAGTCTTTCTTACGAGAAATGCTACCTGTAGTGTCAATCAGAAGAAGTATTTAAAGTGTTTTGATAGCAATTGCTAATCACTATCATAGGCTAATACATTATTTGGCAAATGAACACATGTCGGCGAGAAAGGGGATTATGATGTTTTTACAGAGGTAAGTGTCTGGTACTCTTCATTGGGAATGGATACTAAAAAACTTCTTTTGCACATTGATTGAATTAGATGTAATGGTTTAGAGGTTACTGAAGATTATATTTTCTTCAACTTCCTAATAAATAGGTAACAATATACGAAATTTCAAGGACATACAAAGAATTCAAACACAATAGAATAGTTTGAATTTACTTTTCAGGTATTATTACGTTGTCATGTTTCATATAATGAAACATAATGTATAAACACAAATAATTATACATCCAAGCTCGAATAGATTAGACATAATTTCACTTACTAATTTAAAGCTTACTGAATTGTAACTAGTTATTTATTTTCCATAATCTAAAGTTGACAATATTACCTAATCGAATATAAAGTGATAAGTCGAGCCTTGGCATCGAATATACATGTATATACATGTCAGTGTTATTACAACAATGAAATCTTTTACTACGTTTGTTACAAAACACAGCAAGTTGGTAATTCAAAAGATTCTTAGACATAGCCAGAAGTGAGTGAGTGAGTTATTACATGTAAACCATACAAAGGTATTTCAAGCATTTATGTTCAAGCTGTTGAAAGTTTCATGTTGATTTGAATTGTCAGTTTTCTATGCAATTTACATGAGCATTCTGTAAAACGTTTGTATTTGATCTCTGTAATTTTCAAATACGGTGTGAACACAGTCTCTATTGATCTATCGTCATTAAAAGCTGGATAGTATATCAGTTACGTAGATACATGCGTATAATCATTCAGTCAGATCACAGTAATGAGATAATCGAACACCTCTTTCGACCTTGAAATAACAGCCTCCGGTAGAATGCATGTGTACTTACGCCTTTGTTGAAAGGTTTGTCCCGTGACAAGTGTAAAATAAACAGATGCGATGTTATATCATTGGACAACCTGCTTTATGGAGTCACGCCTCTCTTTCTAATGTTTATGCATACAAGCACATCTGTAATCTTATGAACCTCGTTTACATTCAGTATAAATATAGGCACGCCCACCTTCATAAATATTGGGGTGTGTGTGTGTGTGTTTTGAACTGCAAGTTTATACACTATAATAATTCAGTATACTGTCATTTTGTGAGTTCTGTAATACGTGTACTTTAGTTTGGATATTCATTCGTATCAAGGTGAAGATTATATTTACATGTACAGCAAACCATTATGTTTTATGTACTAGTTGTGTGCATAAAATGTATATGAAAATAAATACAATCTCTACTCAATGGTTGGATTTCAATCACTTTGTTTACTTATAAAAAAACCCACTAAAATGTGTTTTCGATCTCTAAGATCTATCTACTCTTATTTGTCTTATGTGTATATTTCATAGATCGTTACGATTATGTATGTTTACAATACACAAACTGTTACATGATAGCTTGAGTTGATAAAGCTGAAACCCAGCATATTGACTGGTCAATCTTAGTATTGTTACAGTTAGAGTCACCCTTTCAGAACGTCTTTGAATGCTAATCAGTAGTTACAGTCTGCATTGTTACAATGCTAACTAGCTGCTAAGTCTTCATGTAAGAACATCCTTGAGAGCTAACTAGTAGTTAATGAAAGTCTCCCTTTATGATCTTCCTTGAGTTCTTACTCATAATTAATGGTCACACTTTAAATACTTCTTTGAGTGTTAACTGCTAGTTAGGTGCTCTCGTTACAAGCTCCCATGAGGCTAAATAGTAGTGATTGCAAAGGAATTGTTTAGGATTGTCTCCATTTAAGAGCTTCCTTGAGTGCTAACAAGCGGTTAAGGAAAGTCTCCCATTAAGAGTTTTCTAAATTACTGGACAGTTAAGTATTTTCATGT